GATGGAATGGGTCACTGGGGCTACAACAGAACAACCAACTACTAAGTCAAATGTACCAAATGAGAAGAGTGATTTGGTAACCTTGAAAATGTCAGACCATATTGATCTCGAATTGTGTGGGATCACTTAGAGAAAACGTCTGTCACTCTCCCCCTTTATTAGCCTGCTCACGAATCCCCATCCGATCAAAAAAGCCGGTCAGATTAATAAAAGAGAAAAATATTCCAGAGCCCAATGACCTGTGAGTGGTTCCGAAGAATTTGGAGCAGTACTACTACACTACACTTGTTAAATAAGACATATGGGGTATGTTGAGTTAATAAACGCAGTGGTATTAATAAAAGTTGATAACCGATAGGAGGTTTGTTTATCCTAAATGGGCATCGCGAAGTATAAAATTACGAGGAATTTGTGCATCAACTCTATACCTTAGGGGTGAAGGGTGCTATTCCTACAGAGCGTGAAAAATCCTAGCACACTTCCACCTTTGCATTCTCTTGGGAAAACATACCTAGTCAGCATTATCGGATGTACGGTAGAACATAGCATGAAAAATTTCAGTGCGAAACTAGGTCTTAAGATGCCCATTAAAGCAGTAAATCCGGAAAATAGGTATGGGTGACAAAAGTATGGGAGCCTCATTTCCATGATCATATATAAGAGAAACCTCGCAAAACCGAACGACTTTGGAATAAGTTAATTACTTCGATCAGCGGATTCGACGACTGATAAACTCATGAGAACCGAAAACAAAAAGCAGGTAAACTGAAGCATATGATACACCCTAGTTGTCAAGCCTCTCCTAGTGACATTAATTCACAATAGGTGCCACTTACAGAACTCACACTGATTTATCCACATAATGCCACATGGAAGGAAACTAACACATTTCGAGAAGGGCGAAATAATTGTGGTCTATCAAATGAGACTGATCTAAGAAGAAACCGCCAGATTGTGCAATAGATTGAGATCGGACGGTATCTAGAACCAAATGAGTAATATGCAAGGACAAAGAGAAATAGGGGTCCCGGGTGGTGGTGGCCCGGTGGTAACATCGCCAATTATCACCCCGGAGGACGTGTGCTCGACTCCCACCACCACCGCCTGTCTTTCCCTATTGTGTTGTGTGGTAGCCCTTTGATTGTACCTTTGTATGCTCAATAAAAGGAAGGAGCAATGAAAAAAACAATCGGACGATCGAATAACACATGCTCTGAGTCAGAATTAGAGTACTGAAACGAATGCTACAAATAACAGTATAAGATGTACCATGGAAGTACAGAAATAAGATGACGTACCGATGCGTCACGAAGGTGTTATCAAGAGATAAAACACACGTATCATGCAGATAAACAAGTGGGAAACTGATTACTTCAGTGCAGAAAATAATAATAACAATTTGGATAGACCAGATGTTTGGAATAATTACTGTTATGATATTAAAAATATTAAGTTTCAGCAGAAGAAAAAACGATAGGAGCTTAGTGTTGTTTTGAGAAGCCTAATCATCCAACAGCCAAAGCGAGATAACGATACTAGAGAATGTATATATACACGAGTTGGAACAGTTCTGTTCCCGCTACTGAGCAGTACATAACTAAATGATGCCTTGAATTAGTCAGACGTTCGTTCGGAATTTTAGTATGCGTCAGTGAACACAGAAGCGAAAACATGTGGAAAAATGAGGAAGAGGGTTATAACTTTTTTCATGCCGAAAATACCCCCACCACCTCCGATCTCCAATCTCTTTACATGACGATCCGGTTCAAAATACGTGGCTAATGTGAACATGAAAGTAAACAGTAAAAAGTAAAGTAACCGGATGTCTATTATGAGAAAAACGTAACACACTACTTGCCCACTAATACATGCTATTTCCTCTTTTGCTGCTCAAAAACTTTACTGCTTCTTACTATCTTGCTTTNCCTCCTCCTACCTAGCGACAATCAGGAATATTCATCCCTCCCCCACTTATCGCAGCTAAGGAGGACAGAATGGTATCAAAATATATTTCACATCTGGAGCATCAATACCTAAATTATGCTATTTCTTTGCTCTTAAAAGAAAAGTTCCTCGCCAATAGGATGAAGATGAAATGAGAACTCGAATTTCACAATAGAGCGAGACTAGATTCGGTGATACGGCTTTGCTTACAATGCTGATCNATCATTCAAAGTAAGGAGATAAAGGTGTTAACAGCAGCTGCGATGCCCAAATTTACTGTTCAACTTGACGGTAGGTCCTTGTACGTATTGTGTGCTAAGTGAAAGAACCGAAAAGCCAACCACATCATATCGCAATGAAATTCAAACGCCGAATATTAGTGTTGTATTATAGAAAATAAGTTAACCATCCCATCAACAGCTGACAACTCTACTGCAGGCTGATAATCCGATTCTCTCTGCAGAGAAAGACTTGCTCGTGGTTTCCAAATAAGCGCCCTGATAAGAATGCTACGATGATGCGCATCGGACCCTATCCCCATGGATCGTGTGTGGGATTATTTGGTCTGCAAGATACTGGAAGATAATGTAGTGTAAACTCGCTTAAACAGACTGCCAAATGGTTTGATAAGGGTGTGAATAAATGTTCCAAAATCGTTTGATTGACAGTGAGAATCAGTGAAGTTTTTGTGCGTCAAAAGAGGGAATCCCGTGTATTAGTGAGAAATGTGCAGCTTGCTTTTTCTCATAATCCGTATCTGTACACGTTTGTTTAAATCTTTACCTTTATTTCCATATTAAAAAAGTATTCTGAACCGGAATGTCATGTGAAAGGACTGAAGATAGGGGATGAAACACAGTACATTTTTTTGGATAGGGAACAAACACTTTTGGAAAAAAAATTTAAGAATAAAAAAAATTAGTAACTTTAGCTGTACTCATGATTAACTAAAAAACCGCGCGAAAGGTGTGAAAGAACGAAAACAATTTAGGCTTATCGATGAGGTTGTGAACAACAGACT